CATCATAAAACAGAGTATAGAATGGCAGTCAACTCCCTACCTCAACTTCATCGATTTTAAAAAGGCCTTCGACAGCGTCGACCGAGAAGCAATTCGGCAGTTGCTTCAACACTACGGAGTGCCGTAAACATTTATCAACCTCATTCAACAACTATATGAAGACGCCACATGCAAAGTAGCTCACATTGGAAAGCTCAGTGACGCTTTTGAAGTGAAGACAGGAGTGAAACAAGGCTGTCTACTATCACCCATGATATTCCTGATTGTGGTCGACTGGATCATGCAACAAACAGTGAGGGGCGAGAAGAGAGAGATACACTGGACCGCGGAAAAGAACGTAGAAGATTTGGATTTCGCCTGTGATGACTTGTGCCTGATGTCACAGAAACTGGAAGATGTACAGGCGAAAACTAACAAGTTGACAGAAGAGGTGAGGCAAGGCAGCGAAGATGGGATTTTCTTCAAGTGAATATAGAGAAGACAGAGGTGATGAAGATACCCAACCAACACCACTACCACCAACAACGAGCAACAGTCACCATCAATGGGAGAAATTTAAGGGAAGTAGCCTTTTTCACGCACGTACCTAGTCAGGCAGTACCGTTTCAACTCCGGGCGGCACAGACACAGACGAGGAAGTCAGGGCGCACCGGGATCAGAAACACAGCATGACAGGCGTTCATTAACCTGAAACCAGTGTGGAGATCTACTGCACTGCTTTCACCATAAAGCGTGAACAATATCCGGATTTTCAACACCAATTCAGTCAAGTCTGTGCTGCTATATGGTTGAGAGACTTGGTGCTTTACGAAAAGCATTTTCAACAAACTACAGACATTCATCAACAGCTGCCGTCTACGCTCACTCAGTACTGAAGATCAGATGTCAAGAAGGAATAAGCAGTAAGGAACTCTGGCTGGTTACGAAGTAACCAAGAACCTATGGCTGAACAAATATGCAGTGGAAGGAAGTGGAGATGGATTGGGCATACACTCAGAAGCTCATCTGGAGACATCACCCGCCAGTCACTCAAGTGGTACCCAGATGGGAAGCGACGAGTTGGGCGTCCGAGACGAGGGTGACATGGAGGAGGTGGTGTGAGGAAGAAATGAGAGCTTGTGGGGAATCATGGAACCAGGTTCAAAAGACTGAAGAAAAGGCAGTGGAATGGAGATATCCTACTGAAGCTCTATGTTCAGCTGTCTACATGTATATATAGCGAGAGGTGTTCACAAGGTTTCTCAACAGGCTTGTTCATAACAGGATATATAACGGTGTAATATTGCGTGAAAACATTTTTTGTTCTTAAAAACATCGAATAGTAAGAAGACTGTTCTGTGAGATTTTAAGAAAAATATTCGACGAGTTGTTTTTATTGTCAGTGAAACAGAACACAGGTGATCTAACCACTGTAATAATAAATGCTTATAAGGATATCGGATTTGTCCAGCGTCTTGTATACTAAGTCTGCTAGGGAACACGAAAAATCTCCACTCTTCAAGAGGCAAGTACTTGTAAGCTGACTATCAATCTTCTCTGAAAGTTGTTTATTTTCAAAATCTTCTGAAGTAGTTGTATGATAAAACGTTCTACTCTAGTTTTATTCAACTAACTAGTCTGAATGAAAAACCTTCTTCAGTCCATCTAACAGTACCTCTTGAGGCTTCTACTTTTGCTAGTTTTGTAATAAAATTAAGTTAGCAATTAGAGTTTTAACTTGATATAAAAGCCAAAAAATATATTTGTGATGATGTAGAGTTTATTTAACAGCTTTCACTGGGAGAGATAATACCAGTCACTGAGTTAACTAGTGTGAGTCGTTGACCATTCTGTGAAAAATGTAGGTTCATGCTTAGTTGATTCGATCGTGATGTCTGAACTTTATCATGATGATCTCGGAAATATTTATTTAGTCCATAAGCTTAATACCTACTCTTTGAATACTCTCAAGTACATCACCATCCGGAACTAACCATATACTGACTGCCTGATTGCCGTACTTTAAGTGAGTCTTTAAGTGTGTAGGATAAAATATCCTGAATATAACCTCGTCAAAACTTTTAAAAGCTCTGTGCGTCGACAACATAACACAGAAATTTTCCACAGTAACTACTCTGAAATGTGTAGCTGTTTTCAGATCATGGTCTTTGATGTCATTTAAGTATTTTAGTTGTAATACCGAGAGTAGAAGTGCACAGTACACGGAATACTGGAAACAATTACTAATTAATATGAGTCACTTTACTTTTGATAGGGTTGATTTCCAGACAGCATCATTTAGACCAACCTGTCAGATCGTTTGAATACACTTCAAGTCTTTACACATCAGCATCACCCCCTATAACTTGCCAGACTTCTGCAACATTGTTAAATTGGACCTACAAGGAAACATGCGTCTAAGTCTCAATGTCGGTGTCAATAAGTTTTACTAAAACTGTGGTAGAAATTCTATAAAGAGTAATCAAAAACTCATTACATCTTACTTAGACAGCAATACTCAATTGTCTTCTTCATATCATGGCTTTCGCAGAAATTTCTCTTGTTTAACAGACTTCACAGTTAGAGAAAGTTGGGTTAAGTCTAACGATGGTAGGATACCTGTAGATGTCATTGTCATAGACTTAAGTAAGGTTCTTGACAATGTACCTCATTCCAGATTGCTTATGAAACTGGAAATTTTTGAAATCGCTGGTAAGAGACAAAGAGTAAGGATCAATTCTTAACTCTGCTCTTGAAAGCCGGTAGAGACTGCAGCATCGCAGGACACAGTCTAGGGTCCATTGGTATCTCTTCCGTACATATAAATATCACGAAATCCCATGTTGTTCACTCCCTACGCTGAGGATGCAACTATTTAACGGGAAATTAGAAATGACGAGGGTATACAAGCACTTCAGACAAACCTAAGCAGCTTGTTTACTGGGTCAGAGAAGTGGTTTATGCCTATCAACGCAGGTAAATGTGTGTGCATGCACTTGGAGCACACAGATGGCAACACCTATGATATTGGTAGGACTCCCTTACCGTCAGCACTGACCCACAATGACTTAGGAGTCACAGTAAGTTAAGATTTGAAAGCCACAGTAGGCTGTCGATTGGTTGAAACTCGCAGTTTTAGGACAGTTTTGGCATTACGCAGAACGTTTACAAAAATTAGTTGTGACATGTTCATCATCTCATACACATCCTCACTTAGGCTCAAATTAGAAAACTGTCAGCAGGCCACAAATCCATGTCTGAAAGGTGAATCAGACCTTCTGGAACGAATTCAGAGAACAGTCGCTCGTGTGAACCCTTTGAAGGTCGACTTAAGAAGCCGAACGTCTTCTCTTTATCCTATCTCCGATGGAGATGAGGTCTAATCATGCTAAACGGGATTTTAAGAAATGACTTTGAGCCTGACCTGTCTTCTTTTTTCTTTCCCACTAGATCAGGACCCCTCAGAAGATATAGTAGGAGAATACAAAAGCAGAGAACGAACATAGTCTCCGCAGAGTACTGGCTTACGCGCTGAGTAATCAACTCCTGAAACCAACTCTCAGAAGAAGTGGTATTCGCGTCATCAAATGACTCTTTCAAAAGGGAACTGTACAAGCACAAAGATCTACTAAAGAAAGATTTTGGGTTTGGTGTTTCATTGCAAGTCTGGATTAGGGACGTTTTGCACGTATAAAAGCAAAGAATAAGGGTAAATGGGATACGGTCCGGGTGGAAACCTATGATGAGTAGAGTTCCTAAAGGAGAAATCCCACTTCCACTACTTTTCTTCTTATATGTCAACGAATAACCGAAATTGCCCAACTGTTCGGTACTGCTATTCGCCACTGATGTGAAGATTTAAAAAGCCGTACGCAGTGTGCAGATAGGTATGCACTTCAAGTGGATTTAGATGAACTAGTAGATTGGTCGAAACGTTATTGCCTGGAAATGAGCTTTAACAAAAAGTGCAATAATACACATTGGTCATAGCAATTGTCTCCAGTATTCCGTTGATGATACACCACTACTCCCAACCTTTGAACCAAAAACTTGGGTTTTATCATCAGTCATGATTTAAAAACCTCGGCAAACTGTAATCCAGCTCCAGCAAAGGGCTTCTGAGTATTATGGTGCATAAGCAGAGCTTTCAAAAGTTCTGATCAGTACATGTTCAGAATACTCTATTCTACTTACGTTAGACCTCAACTGGAATTCTGCATTCAGGCGACCATCTCATGCCCAAAAAAGATGCTGACGAACTCAAGCATGTTCAAAGGGTTGGTATTGAGCTTGTAGCAGGCCTTTCGAATCTGTCCTATGAGGAACAACTAGATCAGCTAAACTTATTCCCACTGTCTTACTGTAGGAAACGGGGTGATCTCATACTGGCATTTTGTAATCTTAATAATGACTTTGGCAGTTATATGTCACACCTTTCCTCCCCTGCTAGGGCTGACTATCTCCGAGGGCATCACAAGAAAATTCAAAAACCTCGATCGAATCAACTTGACGTGAATCTTCATTTCTCCCATCGTGTTATCAACGACTGGGACTCATTACCTCAGCAAGTAGTATCAGCACCTTCTATCAATGCATTCAAGGAGAAGCTAAACCTCCACAGAGATATCTTCTGCAAGGATTAACACAGGCCAAGTGGCCTACTATCATTATAACTGAAAACTGAAATCTATATCCTAGTCAAACAAAAATCCAGAAATAATACGCTGAACTCCCTGTCTAGCAATAAAATGGAAATGCTAGTTTAAAACCAATCTTTTTGTGTTCTTCATGTAATTCATTCATTTGTCTCATTACTTACACAAGCATGCCAAAACTTATCGCTTAAACTGCTTTATTTACTCTCTACAATTAAGCACATGTATACCCATACTCATAGGCTTACTCCTTTTACCAAAACAAAATAAAATAACTAAGAAATTAAAGTATCAATGAAACCAAAGAGGTACAAATTACAGACTGCAGTTTACATCCCTGAATGATTATTTGTTTCAAAAGGATACAACTCCAACAGCGTTTGCGTTTATTAAATTCCTCAGTGCAATTTTATGTCTTTCATACATAAAGTTCTAGAAATGATCAATAAAGGTAATAGACTCACACTATGAGGGTCAGTAAGTAATTTCAAAACCCTAGAAATGTTAAAATTACTCTGGCCTATAGGCCTGCAGATAGTCTCATCCGCAGAAAAAGCATGATCAATTGGTGATGGGTTTCTTACAGTTCTTGACTAAAGAAGATTTAAAAAGTTAAGATGTGGACTAACAGATAGTGACAACATTTTCTATTCGGATTCTAAAAGTCATTCATAGTTTGCGGCGAGTCGTTGGTAGTGCTTAAAACAAATTCTCAACAAGGTTTAGTTTCTAATGGGTAGGACAGTAGGTTTTCATCTTGTGTTAGTCCTGGAACGACCCATATCTACAAAAGTGAGATTTTCGCCTAGCTGAAGAAGCTGCTGCCAACTTGTTTCCGTAACGAGTTCCAACCACTGACATCATGTGAAGAAGATAATCCACTTCCAATATCCAACATAATTTTTGCAGGTTAATGTAAACCACTCGGTTTTCTCCTACTTATGTCTAGGTCTTGCATATTAGTTGCAGGTCATTGGTGGATTCCGACGCACTAGGTCTACCAACTTATTTGTCATAGCTCTGGTATACCCGATGGATGTTGATTAGATTTATAGGATTCGAATGGTTCGTCCTGGGACTATGGTGCAGATGGATTCCTCAAATGTCATGCCACCTAGCAGTCGTTCGGTTGGTTGTAAAAGTAAGATGGTAATCAGGAGAACTGTCCGGCGAAAAAGAGGGTGAAGTAGAGAGAAGTGGCATTTTGAAAAGTAGCCGAAAGAAGTGAAAAACCTAGTTAGATTCAGTGGAGACTAGAGATGAAACCGGGATAAAGAGAACTTTATCAGGGTCACAGGTAGGATGAGAAGCAAGTAAGAGTGTCAGAGGGGTAATGGGAATCGAAATAGTATGGTTTTTATTGGGGGTGTGGTAACCGGAAGTGAGACATCTGACAGGAAAATACAAGGTTGAGTCAAGTTCGCAACACTGATGGTTGCACGAAGGATCCGGTCCTAGCACTGACAGTGCTAAAATGATGTGGAATTAGTTAGTTGCACTGGCCCTGTCTGTAACGCATCTGGGTGGGTGTGAGCAGTGCTTTACTTCTTCTTGAAGCTGTCGACAAGCAGCTCAGTAGCAGTCCCAACTGGCGATCCGTTCCATTGGCCGCATACCCATAAGGCGAAAATGTGTGAACGCAACTGGTTTTTTTCTTCTTGATGGGCGATCATTCTTTGGCTACCATTGGGATTGCCAAGTGACCGTTCAGCAGAAGTTCACTGTTCGTATGTCTTGGTTTACTTAGTACTTTGCAGGTCATAATCAGTTCACCACGTACTCTCTGTTGACTGAGAGAATGAACACCTACGCACCTCAGTCTATTCCCGTAGGCTTTTTCCACACTCCTATGACACCCTTCTTTATCCGTCCCTCGACACTTTCAAAAAGGTTCGCGCCTCTTTTCAGGTACGGTTGTAGAGTGGAGTTGTGGACTTGTTAGTAGGGTCGTATAGAGGACTTTTGAGGCTTTAGGAAGAGTTCTGGGGTGAGAGCACACATTTATGTGTACACGAAGTAGGGTAGTGCGTAGGCTTCAGATAATTGGAGTTGGGGTCCGACCTGTCAGTTATTATTGGTCCCACGTCTTTCTCCAGGGTCTCGGAAGAAATACGTATACCACACAGAGAGTAGAATGCGTTTCACAAGTCGGCAATGCGGAGAGACATGGTTTGACATTTATCCAGGTTAAATGCTAGTCCGTTATTATTCGCCCACTCTGCGGACAATCCGAGATCACTTAGTGGTGCGCTTGATTCTGATTAGGACATCACAGCTCTCCATAACTTGAGATTTTCAGTGCAAAGTAGAATCACGAAACGATGACTCACAGGGAGGTTGTTTACAGCCAGGGAGGACAGCAGCGGCCCTAAGATCACTCCTTATGGTACACCAGATGTTTTCCAAGTCAATTAAACCCCGCTGACTTTCGCACAGAATCCCCTGCCTTCTCAGTAGCCCCCAGCCAGCCAGCCAGCATACCGCTGATAGCCAGTACCCGACCCTGCTACTCCGCGTACTAGGATGGCATGTGGGACTGTGTTAAGGGCCAGGACAAAATCCAAGGGAAATACCCATGAATAGGGATTTAAGGACCCAGCATTCCGTCCAGTCATTGCCATATGCCAGAAGGTTTTAAAATCAAAATCTACCCTTCTCGAAAGCGTGTTAAGAGCCACTACGTACTCCCTTTTTCCGAAAGTACCCTCCAACATGCTGTTTTACTGGGCTGTCCAATACCTTCGACAACAACGGCAAAAGTGCCATGGGTCAATAGGATACTCCCCTTTGAAGACTGGAGAGAGAAGAGGATGTTTCGACGCTCGTGGAAGCGTGTGGTTGTCTAAAGAGTATTGAAACAAGTCACAGAAAAAACCACCTAAGGCACCCACGTGCCGTTTCAGCATGGCCAGGAGAATGTCATCTCATCCAGGTGATTTTCTTGTATGGAGCTTTGACAGTTTTTAAGGGGCCACAGCAGGGGTTACCTTCATTCCATTTGATCCTTCTACACTGAGCAAAGCTGAATGTTGCTGGGGATGTTGGTAGCTTTTGTTGGACGACGGAATGTCTGGTTGTGCATTGAAGCTAGGGCCAGACGTTTTGGTAATCCTTAGTCCAGACGGGCTTTCTCCATTCAGACTAAATTATGAATCTACAGCATTGGGGTAGATCGGGCCTACGTGAGATGAAGAGGTTGGATTAGTCAATACATAGGCCATAATTCAGAATATTTCAGGCCGAAATTGGGTAAACTGTTTCTATTTGGTGATACCAATAGCTGTTCATAGGGAGCCCAGAGGTGCTACTGGATAGAAGTGGCAGAAGAAAATCGTTTTTTGGCCACCCATAACAGCATATCATTCGCCACACGCCAATTTCTAGTTGGCTCTTCCAGTGGAGATCATCGCGTAGAGATCCAAATTTCTTCACTTACCAACGAATTATCAGCCATTTCAAGATGAGGACCAACGGATTCAGATGTATCAGTAAGCCGAGCCTGCTGATAAGTCCACAAAGCACTCACGGCGTCTACCACTTCAAACAACAGAGAAGACTGACCAACAGGTGTGCCAATTCCGTAACGAAGTTCTATAGGCACGCATTGAACAGTTTGGAAACCGCTAAAATTCACAGCCCATCATTCAGCTTACAGTTTATTTCCCTTCACACAAAATCCGCATCGGTGGGAAGTAACATCCAATGGGTCGGCTAGAAGGAGGGCCTGCATCACATTTCCACTAAGTTGAACGAAGTGTTAGACAAGTCATCCGGGCCTCGTCCGTACAAGTCCCCTGACCTCTACTACCTGATATCCGAAGTCCTGAAGAACTATCTTAATAGCACTCCCGACCTCATCTTTGGCCTCCTCAGGCACTTGCTGGAGTCAGGTGGGCTCTTGAAAAGATGGAAATGCATGATCTTGCCACCCATTTTAGCTGTAGAAGATAGGGAAAGCCCTGGCAGCCATATATTGAACACTCCATGCCTCATACTGTTCGAAGTGTTTGAAAGCCTACTAGCAAACAAGAGCCGGTAGTCCGTCAAGAATGACAACACCGTTCATTCTGTTCAGTATGACTTTCAGAGTGGGTGTTCATATCCAACCAAATTAACGACCGTCTGGAGAGACTAGGTAGCTAGCCAGGATAATATAAAATTAGTCTGTTATCTTTTTAGACTTCGCAAAAGCGTCTCATGGCATCCCGAAAAATATCCTCGCTCAAAATATTCCTTAGTAGGTCAAAGCATATATAAAAGATATACAATCCTGTTCCAAAGTGTACAGAAAGCGACTGACATAAAAGTCACTAGAACCTGGCACACCCCAGTGAACTACCTACAGGCCGCCTAAGTCCCTGCTCTTTGCTGGTGATCTGCTGAAAATATCTTCACCCATCCTTCATATCCGATGACCGCATGCAAACTCAGATGGTGAGGGATCTGACTCCAGAGTTACCCAGGATGATCTGCAGCAAACAGAACTTTGGTCGTCAGACGATGGCTAAAGTTTCAACCCAGAAAAGAGTAAAGTAGTGTGTATTAGGGTTTATTGGTCAAAGGTAGCCGAACGCGAATCGGGAATACAAGCTGAGTAACTGTATCACCATCAAGGTGTCTACGATAAAGGATCTGGACTTTAACGCCTTCGAACCCCAAAAAATTACACTTAGCCCCCAAAAAACAGCAGCAAGGGCGAACGAAATTTCTACGTTTACTCCCCAGATAACCCTATCCTGTCACACCAGAACTCTTTCTAACGGTTTTCAAAGTGCACATTCGACAGCATCTGAGAGCAAACCATGTGTTACCACGTTCGATACTGAAATGAGACTTCAAATTTCTTGAGGGGGTACAGACCCGTTGCTAATAAGTGTTAAACAGGCTGAGTTACACGAATCTGTTCATTTTAATGCATCGTGGAAAACGAGGGTCCTATTGCGGTTTAAGTAGTCACGGGGACAAAGCAATTTTAAGGATAGCGAGGCGATCACCGCGGGTGGGTAATATTGGAATAGCGCACCAATGAGCTAACAACAGGTTCGGGCCGCACTTTACTTCCTTGATAGTGCACGGGTTAGAGAGTGCTTAACCGCATGATGAGGAGTGTGCTGGTAGACTACTTCAACATCCTGCCTTTCCCAACTAATTTTATTCAACCTACGTACATCTAATATACTACAAGAATAGCCGTCCCCTACTGTTCATTCATCCATAATATGTTATCCTCTTTTAGGTACGAATTCATACAAGAATTATCGAGAGACCTGAAACCTTCCCAGAGGCTGGTGTCTCGCTAACCAATCAGTAGACATGAATCCACGGAAAATACTAATCGTATCACAGATGAAGCAGAAAAACTAATAGACTCCTTTGATCGTTCCAGAAGCAAAACCAAACAACAGGAACTTAGCAGCAAGAATTTA